GGCAACCCTACTCCCCCTGCTTTTGGCTATGGCTGCCAACTCTGGATTGGGAAATTCCTGGAGATTTGGAGGAAGTACCTAGGGAGGGTGGACAATGGGGAAGGGTCCAAGCTCAGCAGGGATGTAATGCAACACAGGTCCAATCTGCATTGGTATTTCTCACCGCTGTGCCAATGATCTCACATCCTCTCACAAACGTCTGTCTGCATTTCATGCCCCATCCACTCTCCTATTGTTTCATCTCAGCATCGGCTGTCTACATCATTTTATTGTCATTTAGTAGTAACTCTTGTTGGAAATGTATGTGTTTACAAGGTCTGACAATCCAGTCATTATAGGATTAACTTGTTTACCTAGTATTGCTATTGTTTAGACTGACCTGGAAGGGAAACCTGGCACAGAGCCAATGGGGAATTAGCCCGGGAAAAGTAACTTACATTGTGATACAGATTGGTTGTTTGTTTCAGTTGACTTCCTTTCTAGGGGTTGAGAAGAAGGACAGATTCTCCATTATTTGTTGTTAGTGTGTAACAATGGTTGAACTGTAGGCAGCTTAGAAAATGTAGCTCTTAGGAGTTTTGTTATTTTATAGGTTTCCTGTATACCTTTTACCCTTAGAAATAAAGGTTTTTAAAAGCAAAGAAATCTCTTCTTTCCAATAGAGCAAGATCCATTGGTACTCTGAGTATTTTAAATACTTTGACTATTTTACAACAACTCTCAGGTCACTACGGTGTCTCACCATCATATCTGAATGTGGTTTTAAGGTGGTACAACTGCCCCTCCCCACTGTCGAGCCGCTGTGAGCAAAAAGCAGACAACTGGAGCTAAATTGTCTTCCATCTTTTCTAAGGAGATACGCAAATTATCACAAAGGAAACAAGTTAGCTGAAAATCCAGTCATTTGCATTTAAAAGCAGCCAGGGAACATTTTTCTGTGATCATATTGGGGGGGTTGGAAGCACACCCACCCCTGAACCATTTGTTATTTCCCGGGGCAGTCTCCAGAACGCCCTGCCTGGCAACTGCTGGGTGTTTTGTGTTTTTTACCCAGCTTGTTCTGACTTTCCTGCCCCCCTCTGCCAGGTCACTCCCTTTTACTTTCGGGGGGGGGGGGGTCGCAGGTCCACCCTCCTGCGTGTATCCCTCTTTGTATCTGGGGGGGGGGGGGGTCGCAGGTGCCATTTCCTCCCTGCAGCGCCCTGCCGGCACCCCTGGGAGGTTGCTCCTCCCCCCTCTCTTGCGCGCTCTCCCTAAACAACTTGCGTCCTGACGCAGACAGAGGAGAGCTTTATACTGATCCAAATGCGAAGCCGGCACCACAGCAGCATGGAACAGCTTTATATAGCAAATGCAGACTGGGCCACAGTCCACCTTCCAGGGAGCCAGAGAGCCGTTTTCTCCGGGGGAATTGACCTCTGCTGTCTGGAGATCAATTGTGATTCCAGGGTATCTCCAGGACCTACCTTTGGTGTGTGTGTGTGTGTGTGTGTGTGTGTGTTAAATTTCTCACTTGGTCCAGGGCCTGAGAAGTGCTGAGAATTGGCAACTCACAAAGAATTCGCTATAGTTTAAGTAATGAAAAAGCTTCTGGCACCGACAGCAAAAGAAATAGCAGCCATCTTGCTGTGCATCACCCGATAATCCTGCATACATTCCAAATGCAAAACAGAATAAAAAATTATGTTTTTAGTCTTTCAACTGCCTGTTGTGTAAACTGAGAGAGCAGTAGATTTACTTTTGCTTCCTCCAGGGATTCCTTTGGCTGCTGAAGCAGTAGGTAGAGGATATTTAAACAGTATAGTGCAATTACTGCCTCAGAGAGAGATGTCTGTGTTGTTCTGCTGCAACATGGTGAATAATTCATGGGATACTGTTTATGTTTGATTTCATCTCTTTTTTCCCCCTGCCAGATGAACTGTCTCAAATGTGTTTATGGAGCCTGGAAATTTCATGTGAGGATTTCCTTATATGTCTTACTATTTCCTGAACAGTAGAAAAGAGCAAGAGTCCAGTAGCACCTTAAAGATAAAGACTAATAAAATTTGTGGCAGGGCATGAGTTTTTTGTGAGTCACTGCTCTGTATCTGAAGAAGTGATCAGTGTCTCATGAAAGCTCATCGCCTGCCACAGATTTTGTTAGTCTTCAAAGTGCTACTGGACTCTTGCTTTTTTCTCCTGCTACAGACAGACTAACACGGCTACCCATCCTGATCTGTTTCTGAACCGAGTGTGTATGTGTGTTGATTTCAAAGCACATGGCTCATATGTTCTTTCAATCAGTGGAAGGTTACAGAAAGCTATCACAGACCTGTAGGTTCATTGTGAGTGCTCCCTCACATAAACCAAACATGATTTAGCTGGCTCCAAGGGAAATATGGGCCCCCCAAATGTTCTACCCTTATCCACCTTCTTGATGACCATGAGTTTGTGTTGACTGTTAAATTTGAGTTGTATCCCTTAGTCTGTGGCCCTGCTTGTCTAGGCTCAAAAACAGCCAGGTTCTTATGGCTCACTGAGCAAATTTTCGTGCCTCTCCTTAGTAAGGTTGCCAGGTCCAGTATTGACCCAGACAGTCTGGTATTTTCACTGACTGGGAAGAAAACTGAAAACATGCAGGACATTTAAAAATCATTTCAGCATTTTTGCCATAGAGTCAGTCAAAACACCAGACTGTCCAGCTCAACTGGAAACCTTACCAAGCCTAGAGAGTACAGCTTGCTGTTTGGGCTTGGAGGAGGCAGGGCCAAGGCAGCCCAAGCACAAAGCAACAGCCACTGCTGCTTCACTCTGGGTGGGGCTGGGAGTTCCTACCAGGGCAAATGGTGCGTTTTGTGCTGTTTGCCTGGGGAGGAGGGGGTGGAGCCTTGATGTGTCCAGTATTTTTAAAAAATAACTGACGACGTTACTCCCTATATTGCCTGGCCAATATTACTAGACTCCCTGAATGTAAGTCGCAGAAGGGGATGGCTACTGTCACCTGTGTAGACTCCACCCGCTCTTCTTTCCCCTTCTCCCTTGTAGCTTTATATATGTGTTACTAGAGTTTAAAAAAGTAACAAAAGAGGTGTCTCTAATCTTGCTGCCTCACTAAAATTAACTCCACACTAGAGTTGCCACTGCTGGCCCTATGAAATTCCAGGGAACTGCAGACCAGAAGGTCAGTAGTTCAGCAGTTTGCGACCCGAGTGTGCCGCATGACGGAGTGACCTCCCGTCTCTGGCCCCACCTCCTGCCAACCTAGCACTTCGAAAGCAAGAAGTTGCAAATAGATAAATAGGTACCGCTTTGGTGGGAAAGTAACAGCATTCCGTGCGCCTCGGCGTCTAGTCTTGCTGGCCAAATGGCCATGGAAACATCTTCAGACAGTTCTGGCTCTTCGGCTTGGAAACAGAGATGAGCACCACACCCTAGAGTCGGATTCAACTGGCTTTCGAGCAAGGGAAACCTTTACCTTTACTTACCTGCGGAGGGGGGATTTAGGGAGGGATTTGACTAAGAATCTATGGTGTACCGTACAGTTTGCCCTCTGAAACTGCTGTTTTCTCCATGGCAACTCATCTAAGTAGTCTGGAAACCAATTGTAATTCTGAGAGAATGCTAGGGTTCGCCTGGAGGTTCACAACCCTAATATCCAACTGGAGAGAAGCAGCATAAGGATGCTAGAGGTAGAAACATGGTCATAATGAGCAGGAAAGAATATTCTCCTTTGGAGAAGGTATTTTAAAAGAGTCTAAGGAATCTTGGTTGTATGAAGGGAAGCACTGGGTAGCCCTTCCATTCTAACAATGAATAGGACCCATTTTGGGTCTCCTGCAAGACTGTAGTGTGCTAATGATCCTTCCTGAAATGTGTATTTGGACGATCTTCTTCTTCTTCTTCTTCTTCTTCTTCTTCTTCTTCTTCTTCTTCTTCTTCTTCTTCTTCTTCTTCTTCTTCTTCTTCTTCTTCTTCTTCTTCTTCTGTCAGTGGGGTATATTCATGATGAACTGAATGCCTCATTTGTACGGAATCTGGCAGCTAGCAAAGTATCTCTATTCCTGCTTATTCTTGTTTTAGCCATTGCAGGCTTTTGATTGTGTTGATTCAGAACACAGAAGATTTGTATGGCACACACAAACTCTATTGATCTCTCTGCTACTTCAAATGGCACACTGGGAGAGGGGATTAGGGGGCCTGTGTCAACAACCCAGTCATTTCCCTTTAGAATAAGAATAATAATAAGAAGAGATTGGATTTCTACCCCGCCCTTCACTACCAGAAGGAGTCTCAGAGTGGCTTACAAACTCCTTTCCCTTCTCCTCCCCACAACAGACACCCTGTGAGGTAGGTGGGGCTGAGAGAGCTCTGACAGAAACTACTCTTTTTCAAGAACAGCTGTGCCAGAACTATGGCTTGCCCAAGGTCATCCATCAGGTGCAAGTGGAGGAGTGGGGAATCAAACCTGGTTCTCCCAGATTAGAGTCCACACACTTAACCACTACACCAGACTGGCTCTCTTTACCCATATACTTCAATTGCTGCTCACCTAGACCATGCTCATATAATGTTTTTTTCTGACCATGCAAACAGTCCCTGTCTATGCATCCCCATGGAAAGCAGGTGAAAGCTGAGACTTGCTGGGTAAAGTCTGAGCTATGAACTCTCTGGGTGGCCTTAGGCAAGCCACACTCCGCTCCACTCCCTCATCTGCAACAGGGAAAAATAACCCTAGCCTGTTTTGCAGGGCTGCAGAATGAGTTATTAATACAGCAATTGCCATGCTTGCAGAAGTTGGAGAAAGTTCCCTCAAGAACTAAAGGAAATGGCAAAAACTTGTATAGCTTAGGTCACACATCTATGTATATGCACACGACTGCATGCCTAAGGGACACCTTTGGCGCACGCTGTGTCTGGTTATGGTGCCTTCACCTGTATGAATAGACTTTGATAAATGTGAGGAAATATGCAACGTTGTGGTGAACAGTTCTGAATGCAATCACGTTCTTTTGCTTCTGCAGATTTAATTTTCGAGGTTACCGCTGGGTCAAAGCCATGATACTTGCCATACAGCATATTAACAAAAATCCCGACATTCTACCAAACATTACTCTGGGCTACCAGATCTATGACACGTGCTATACAATGTCCAAAACAGTTGAGAATTCTTTGGCTTTCCTTACTGGGCAGAATGAAACAACCCCCGTCTTCCGATGCAGTAGTGGTGCTCCTCTCGCAGCAGTCGTCGGAGCCGGCGGATCGACCCTCTCCATTGCTTCCTCGAGAATCCTTGGACTTTACTATTTCCCTATGGTATTGTCAATCTCATCAAGTTTTACCTGTAAAAGATCAAACAAGTTGCCAAAAGTGTAAAAAAAATAAAAATCTCTTTACTCCTCAGTGGATATGCGCGATGAAACACCAAACAGTAATTCCCTGCATTCTTTGAAGGGATGCCATGACAGTTTAGTATAAATTAGATATGAGCTTATAGTGTAAATATACTTATGTTAGTGCAGCTTTTGGTTTAGTATATGCTATAGAGAGGTTAGAAAATCTCCTGTGTTTGGTCTGCAGCCTAAAGCAATTTTATATGCTGATAATCTAGGAAGTGTATTTTCACAAATTAATTTTATTTATGGTATTTTAGACTCTCGAATGTAAGGACACAGAAACACCACAAATTCTTGCGGCTGCAAAATCATGTTTTCCAGATTGCTGCAGTCATCCATTTGGGTCATGATTTTGAACAGTGATGCAAATATATGACCATGCCAGGACATAAAGCAACTGAACAGCCATCGTCAGATAACATATATAGGGAAGTCTCAATGCATGTTGAAGGACTGTGGGAATGAGCACACTGGCTCCACTCTTGGTCTACATGTGACTGACAGAACATGAGCATAATTCCTGTGTGCATACAAGGTTAAGGTTGCCAGCAAATGTCAGGAGATTTTAGGGGCACTACCTGAGAGGGTGGAATTCGAGGGGAATATGACATCACATCCTCTGTGCTGCCTTAGAAATTTTCCCAATCTCTATGGTTTTTGGATAAATATTAAATAAACTGGTCTTTACCACAGAGATTGAGGAAATTCTTAGAGTGACACAGAGGATGTGATGTCATTTCTGGGTGGGCAATGGACATGATCTCAGTTCTGGTTGATGCTCTAGGACACCCCCCCATCTCTATGGTCTCTACAATATGGTCATTCCCCCCTCCATGGTTTCTCCTGCTCCTTAAATTATCAAGGATGAGGAACCGAGGGTACAAGCGGGAGACTGACCACTGCTACCGGGCAAATGGTAAGCCTTTACAAAATATACATGTGTAGATTCCATCCCCATGATTGGGAATCTACTTTTTTAACATTCCAGATAGAACCTGCTCACATAGAGTCTGAATGCGTGCAGGTGCCATTAAAAGCTGAGGTAAAAGGATATGTTACCAGAACATGTTTGTGTTCTGGTAACATTTCTTTGTACATGAGATTTTAATTATGTGTTTTATGTTTCCAGAAGTTTTGGTCAGTTTCTGGTCTGAGGTCTGTTTTATGGACATTTTTTCTATGTTTATGTACCTGGGCTTGTTTTAATGGCTTGTTTTATATTAATGGTTTACTATTTTAATTGTAAGCTTCCTCAAGCAGGATTCTGGAGAGTTGACACAAAAATCTCCTAAATAAATAAATATTAAATAAACTGTGCATAGACCAAGGTAGAGCTGGTATAGGTCTTCCCACTTCCCACAGACCGGACTATTATGGTGTCTTAGGAGTCCCTCAGAAGTTACCATAATCTAGCTGTTGTCTGGACTTGAATAGAGCCCACACATGGAGCTTGATCTTGTAACATGGGCCACAATCTCCAATCACAGCATATACGTCCATTTTTATGAGTCACAAAAGAAAAAATGTAGCTTTATTTCCCAAATGTCACCAGTAGAACATACTATGGTAATAGGCTTGCTGCCCAGGCCAGCCCCCCCACCAAATCCTGGTCTAGTAATGCCAGCCTCCCGGTGGGGCCTGGGAATCCTCCAGAATCACAGCTCATCTCCAGACTACAGAGATCAGATCCCCTGGAGAAAATGGATGCTTTGGAGGGTGGACTCTATGGGCACTGTACCCCACTGAGGCCCCTGTCCTCCCCAGGCTCCATCCTCAAATCTCTAGGAGTTTTCCAACCTTAAGCTAGCAATTCTACCCCCCACCCCCTACTGGTAGCCTGGGAGGACCTTGCAATCCTACTCTGCAATGAAGCCCCCCATCCCCTGCCAGTGGCTGGGGGGAGGGACTTGTCAACACTATCCTGATCCCCAGTAAAATGTACTCATCCCTCTCCTATGCTTGTGCCTTTATAGCCACACCAGGTCTGGGAGAACAAATGACTATGTGGGGATAGAGACATGCTGGCACCTGGACGCACAATTCAGTCTCTTTTTCCTATATAGTCTCACTCAGCACCATTGGACTTCCTGAACTGAGTCTTGGCCAGTCTGATACAATGAGCTATCCATTCCTCTCCACATTGCTTTCCTCCACCATAGCCACCTGCTATCCATGAGTGGGGTTACTTCCTTCTCCACCACCACCTCCACTGCCTTTGTGAGAACACAAATAAGTCCTTTGGTGGCAGAGGAGCTACAGAAATAAAGAACATAAGGGATAGCAATTCTTGCTTCAATCCATGTTTTTTTGCTTGTTTGTTTTAGGTTGGCTATGCCTCGTCTTCCTTACTTCTCTCTGACAAGTATCAGTTCCCTACTTATCTCCGCACCATCCCAAGTGATAATGTGCAATCTCAAGGGATGGCACTCTTAGTTAAGCATTTTGGTTGGAAATGGGTGGGAACAATCGCAGCAGACGACGATTATGGAAAATACGGTGTAAAAGCATTTAAAGAGAAGATTGAGAAGATTGCGAAAGGCAAAAGTGGAGAGATCTGCATAGCTTTCTCAGAGACAATTCCAAAAATCTACTCCAGGACAAAAATACAGTCAGTAGTCAACACCGTAAAAGAAACCAATGCCACGGTCATTGTGGTCTACTCTTCGGATATTGACTTCCATCCTTTAGTGGAAGAGCTTATTATTAGCAATATCAGCAGCAAAACTTGGATAGCAAGTGAGGCTTGGGTTACATCAGCCTTAATTGCGAGGCCGGAATACTTTCCTCTCCTTGGTGGGGCCATAGGCTTCGGAGTACGAAGAGGTCACATCCCTGGGCTCAAAGAATTCCTTCTGGACGTACACCCAGGCAGAGATCCTGATGATGATCTGGCCATTGAATTTTGGCAGTCTGCATTCAACTGCACTTGGCCTAATGCCAGCATACCCTATAACACAGACAACAGGAAAAATGTAACTGGCCATGAGAACAGAGTTAATTTTACTTCTGACCACTTCTGCACTGGGGAGGAGAAACTTGAAGAACTTAACACTACCTACCTGGATGTTTCAGAACTTAGGATAACGTATAATGTCTATAAAGCTGTCTATGCTGTTGCTTACGGTCTTCATCAATTAAGCATCTGTGATCCTACAACTGGACCATTTACAGGCACAGGTAGCAAGTGTGCCTCAATAGATGAGTTTGAACCCTGGCAGGTATGCACTTATTTATTGCAAGGGGTAGCCACGTCAAAACAAAATGAGACAAAATTCCAGCAGCACTTTAAGAACTAAAACATTTATTTTTCTATGAGCTTTCATGAGTCATAGCCAATGTTCCCTCTAAGCTGTGGAGTCCTGTGAGCAAAAATTCTACTTTGTGAGCTACTGGCATCAAAGTGGTGAGCAGGTGATTTGGCTACTGTATAAATTAGTTTGCACTGGAGCCATCCTTCCTGAGCTAAGACAAAAATGTGTGAGCCAGAGGCTAAAAAACTGTGAGCTAGCTCACACTAACTCAGCTTAGAGGGAACACTGGTCAGAGCTCTCTTCTTCAGATAGACATATGAAGGGGAAAATATCCTGGGTGAGCTTATGGGGAAGGCTGGCGGGGAGCCAAGTCTTGGTGTAAATGATGTCATGCATCTTTCAAATGTAAGACTCAGTTTAATAGAGAAAGGAAGGAATAGATGTAGAAAGGTTAGGTTTGAGTCCCATCATAAATCAACAGAATTAGCAGTCACATATACTGGATGGTGAGGGACATCAGAGGTTTGAACAGATGACCAAATAGTCTAAGTGAAAATTAATTGATATTGGTACTAGGCTATAGTCTGATGAAAGTTGTTGAGAAGATACGATAAAAATCTCTAAAAGGTGGATACAGTACAGCTATCCAAGGTTGTAGTGACTAAGAAAACCCAAGTCTCTGTTTAAGCCAGGATGACATGTAGAGTTTAATTTTTTTAGTTCTAATTCATAGCTTTCACATTATATGTTCCCTTTGAATGCTTCTATAAAACAGTGATTTGAGACCCCTCCTCAAAATACTGTTAGCAACAAGGGGAAAAGGAAAAGGATCCATCACATCTCCGTCTCTCAACTTTGTGACCCTAATTCAGTTCTTCTCCCTTTCCCCAGCTGCTTTTAATTGCTGTAGACAGTGATGAGAGAACATGACCTACCCATAACATGTAGCTTGGTCCTAAGTGACCATGATTATAAGCTTAATAACCTATATGCAAAGTATGCATTCCAAATACACATACACACTTTACTTAAAAAAAAAATGCTTCCCCTGATTACATTGCTACTCTAATGCTGGTCAGATGTAAAAAAAAAGAAAAGAAAATAATCAGAACAAATGCTCATAAAGTATTCAAGAGCGCTTTGGACTGTTTGAAGACTATCCTCTTTCATTTAACCAGAGCTGCTGGGCAAGTTTGCCAGGTGAGGCTAACAAGCCGGTGGGGGACTTTCCAGGAGTCTCTGGGAGAAGGGAGGGAAGAAGTATGATTGAACTCCAAAGGGAGTTCCGGCCATCACATTTAAAGGGACCGCATTCTTTTTAAATGTCTTCCCTCCATTGGAAATAATGGAGGATTGGGGTACCTTATTTTGGAGCTCATAGAATTTGATCCCCTGGTCCAATCGTTTTGAAACTTGGGCAGAGGGTTGAGGAGAGGCACTAGATGCTATACAGAAAATTTGGTGCTTCTACCTAAAAAACAGCCCCCCACAGTCCCAGATAACTCACAGATCAATTCTTCATTATTGCCTATGGGGACCGGTCTCCATAGGATATAATAGAGCACCCAGCAGACATCCCCCACTGCTTTCTGATAACCCTGAAGCAGGGGTAGGGCCTCCAAACCAGGGGTTCCCCTTGTTCCAACTGGGGATTGGCAACCCTACTGCTGGGAGAGGCAAGTGGAGCAATTTGCCCCAGGCATCTCCTGGGTGTACCATTGGTCCCTGTCCTAGTCCTGCCAGATTATTCACCACAATTCTTGGTACTTCCCCCCCCCCAATATGTGAACATCGAGCCTTTGGATATACATTTTTCTGTCCTTGCAGGGGACAGGAGTGGGGCTCCCAATGTCACATTTGACCCCAGGTCTCATAAACCCACTGGAGAGTCCTGCAATGGAACCACTCCTTCCCTTAATGTGAAAAGACAGCTTTGTTGCTACAGGACACTTCCAGTCCACATTCTCATTGCTTTTTACATAAAGAGGATAGTTAAGGATGTTTGTTCCTCAGATATCTGTATACTATTACCAAATGTGTCCCCTACCTGCGGATACCTAAATCCATGGATTGGGGCTACACAGAAAGAAAATAGATATTTCTGCAAAAGTGGGGGAAGGTGTTTACAGGAAAACCTGAAATCCTTAAAAAATTACATTTGGGGCTATAAATCCCCCCCCCCAACAAACGCGTAATCTGTGCATATGCAGGCAGCATGGAAACTTAGTACCTCTTCAGCAGCGGCAGATGGAACCCTGACGAGGCCCAGGATCAGCAGTGGTGGTGGCAATGGGGGTGGGGAGCCACACTGGGCCCAGCAGCAGAGGCTGGGAGCCTCCCCAGGCCCAGGATCAAAAGCTGCAGTGGAAGCAGTGTTGGTGGGGGGCGGAGCCACAGGAGGCCCAGCAGCAGAGGCTGGGCTCCTCACTGGGCCCTGAATGAGCAGCAGCAGCAGTGACTGTGGGGGGAAGGAAGATGCAGCAGCCCAACGGCAGAGGCTGGGAGCCTCACCAGGCCTAAGGTTGCCAGGTCTGGGTTGGAAAATACCTGGAGACTTTGGGGGTGGATCCAGGAGAGGGTGGGGTTTAGGGGATGTGAGGGGCCTCAGCATTAGGGTTCCCAAATCCCCCCGGGGGGCAGATTTCCCCCCGCTTTCAAGGCCCGACTCCCACCCCGCGCGGAATCGGGCCCGGGGGAAACCCCCCCCCCCCGCACGCATCACCTGGAAGTGACATCGCACGCTGGGGGCGACATCACTTCCGGGCGACACGTGCGCACGAGTTAGATGCCGTTTGGCAACCCTACTCAGCATGGTACAACGCCATAGAGTCCACCCTCCAAAGCAGCCACTTTCTCCAGGGGAGCTGATCTCGGTCAGCTGAAGATCAGTTGTAAAAGTGGGAGATCTCCAGGCCCCACCTGGAAGCTGGGAACCCTAACCAGGCCTGGGATCAGCAGCAGTGGTGGCAGAATTTTTTTTTGGGGGGGGGATAGGACACTGCAGTGGGCCTGGCTGTGGCAGCTGGCCTCAATGGCCGGGGGTAGAGCTTGGAGCTGTGCCAGAGTAGGAAATGGGGAGGATATGGCATTCTCCCTCGCAAGTCTCATGGCCTGCCACTGAGCCGGCAAGGAGGGAATCAGGAGGGGGCAGGAGTCTTTGCTGCCCCCCGACAAGCTGGCAATGAAGGATGGGGGGTGTCCTCACTGCCCCCCACCAAGCCAGCAAGCCTGCTCACCCCCTGAACTGTAAGGAGGTAATCAGGCGGAGGGTTGAGCCCTCACTGCCCCCCTGCAGCCCAGCTGGCAGCCAGCGAGACAGGTAGGGAGGCGTAGCAATCCTCTCCACCACCATCCCCAGCTGGCAATGAGAGAACTGGATGGCCACAAGAGGGGGGGGGGGGGGGGGGAGAATGCACTGGCCTAGCAGTGACAGCAATATAGGGGAGAATGATTCCTCCCCCTTGAGTATCGTGATTCCCCTCTTTTAGTATCTAAAGCAGCGGTCTCCAGCAGATAGCTTTTGAACTACTGGTAGCTTACTATTGGGGAAAATGAACTCACCAAAGAAAGCCACTATTCTATAACTTTAACACACTTGGTTATACTTTTTATAATGTTTATAATGCAAATTTCTTATTCTAGACAACATTCATATAAAGTACATTTTTTCATAAATATAAGGAAAGCCAGTAGATAATGGTATGAGTACCATCCAAAATCTTGATGCAAATATTCTTGACACTGTTTTGACTATGTTCCTAGAATGTTTTCTCTTTAAAGCATCTTAACAAAGCTGTGAAGTGGAAAAGCAGACTGAAAAGTCTTCGTTTTTTCCAGGCTCCTAAACAATGTTTATCACTCCTTTGTTATTTCACAGGATTTTCCTCTGTGCTGCTTTAGCTGATAGCTTCCTTTCCAGTGCTCTGCCTAGCCCATGTTCTGTTCCTAGGACAGAATAAAGCTTGGTGACATGGCAGGACAGGGTAAAGTAGCTCAGGCTATTTTTCATGACTCAGTATTAAGTCTCATTAAAAAAAAAAAGTTGGCGACCCTTGTACTAGAGACCTAAAATTAAAATTTGATACACACATGCCCAAGAAAAATTATATATGGGCCAGGATCAGTACCACAAGGTTATCAGTTTGGACCCTCATACCAGAGTCTCAGAATTCTTGACTTTTAGCAGATTTTGTCCAGAAGGGAAAGGGAGAGAGAAAATTCCAGCTTTTAAAGAAAGATTTACAATTGCTCTACAAAAGAGCAAGAGTCCAGTAGCACCTTAAAAAATAACAAAATTTGTGGCAGGGTATGAGCTTTCGTGAGTTACTGCTCTCTTTTTCAGATATAGATAGTCTGGGAATAACTCTCTTGGGATATACTTTGAACCTACTATTTTGAAGGTAATCTGTATAAACATTCACCTTTTGGGCTTCCTAGTAATCAAAGTTCTGTGTGTGTACCAAATTTCCTCCCTCTTTCTCTTCTCCTACTTTAACCATTTTACAGTATATTTTGGCTTTTAAAAAGGCCATTGAACCACTCTGAAGAGCATAAAACAGAAGGTGCTGTAAAAAGTGCCAGATGCAGTGAGCTACTTATAGGACTCCAAGTTGCTCTTTCCCCCCTTATTTGTGGGTTACCACTTTATGTCCTAAATTAGGATCTTCTTTCAGCATTGAGAGGGAACTTCCAAACGTAATGAAACCTGCCTCAGCATCCTCTGATATTATAAGGATTTATTTATTTTTTGGTCCACAGAAAAATTCCTCCTCCTCCTCTGAAGATTAGGTTTTTATACCCCCCCTTTTCACTACCTTAAGGAGACTCAGAGCGGTTTACAATCTCCTTCCCTTCCTCTCCCAATAACAGGCACCTTGTGGGGTTGGTGGGGGTAAGAGAGTTCTGAGAGAGCTGTGACTGACCCAAGGTCACCCAGCTGGCTTCATGTGGAACACTGAGGAATCAAACCCTGTTCTCCAGATTAGAGTCCACCGCTCTTAACTACTATACCATGCTTACAAATTGTATAACGCCTTTTTAGTTCAGTGCAGTCAAAATGTCAGAAAATAGTATGCTAGCTTTCAAGTTCTCCTGAGGAAGATTTCTGGGGAAAACTTCCACACTATTTAGTGATATTTTGTTTGCTTATCCCAATCATACAAGGTGACTTACAGCATTATTAAAGCAGAGATACAAAACCAAATGCAAGAGACCCAGTGTGGCGTAGTGCTTATGATGTTGAACTAAGTCAATTATTTCAACACTAGAAATAAGGCCCGTTGTGGAAATAAATACAACGGGATCTAGAAAGAGGCTCTGGGAGAGTGCTCTGGCTTTGGGCAAACAGTGTCAGTCTGCTTTTAAAACATGAACCTGGGACCTGCACACCACCAGAATACAGCAGGTTCCATATGTAACTGACATTCCAACTGCCTTGCGGGGGGGGGGGGAGTTTGAGGTGTGGAATGGAGTGAAGTCCAATCAGCTTCCATATGCAAAAGACCAGGTTGTTGCAGCAGTTGTGGTGTGGGTGGGACCCGGGCTTTGCCTTCTGATTGGTGGCGATATATGCTGAGGAGCAGTGCCATCAGCCATACACTAAGGGAGTGCATTTTAGAATTAGAACTTTGGCACCCACTATTCAATTATATATAAGGAGAGATTTTCATTTCAAAGCTTTTCTCAGGTTTGTAGAAACAGCTGTCTTTCCTGTTCTTGGCTCAAGCCTTTTGACTGATGTATGCATAAATGAGGCAACGCTGGAAGTTAGATATATTGATATTATTTTTTCATTGAAGACCCATGTGTTCATCCAGTTTTATGTCCTATTTAATACTAAGGCTAAGGTTAATACTGCAGGCTGGAAGGTCGGTAGTTCAGCAGTTCGAGACCCGAGTGCCGCATGACGGAGTAAGTTCCCGTCTCTGGTCCCAGCAGTTTGAAAGCAAGAAACTGCAAGTAGATAAATAGGTACCACTTCAGTGGGAAGGTAACAGCATTCTGTGTGCCTCGGCGTCTAGTCATGCTGGCCACATGACCATGTAAATGCCTTCGGACAGCGCTGGCTCTTTCTTCAGCTTGAAACAGAGATGAGCACCACAACCCTAGAGTCAGATTCGACTGGCTTTCGAGCAAGGGAACCTTTACCTTTACTAAGGCATGGTAAAAGCATACTTTGACTGTGTGACTAGATTGTTGCAACCTAATTTTTCCCTCCCCTTTCACAGTTAATGTTCTACATGAAGAATATGATGAACTTCAGAGTGCTTGATGAAGACGTATACATAGATCTGAAAGGGGACGTGTATACCCCCTATGATATTCTGAACTGGCAGATGAATGGCACAAGTGAAATTGCCTTTGTGAATGTTGGAAAGTTTAACAGCAGTACGGATGAAAATTTTGAGTTTATGGTATACAATGATTCTATCTTCTGGAACAATCCGGCGTCAGCAGTAAGTGAATTCATTCTCTAAATATAGATGTCCTGAAGTTGACAGGCCGTGCCACTGTGACCACTCATTTCACATTTATCTATATCCCTCTCGTCAGATAGAATCCATATCTAATACTAGCTGCTAATAAATCAAGCTCTACATAATGCTTCAGTCAGTGCTTATATTTGTGCTTCTATTCCTGTATGACCAAGAGACAGCTAATTTACATTTGCAGCCGTCCCTGAAACTGTGCCCGATTTCCCACAAGCGCTGCTCCACACTCGCTCTTCCCTTTTGCCCCGATAGTACGTGTCAATTTCACACAAGCTGCTGCGTGGCCACATTTTGCCCCGCAGCTTCGCGTGATTTCCCCCGTGTCTACTCAATCCTGTTTTTTGAGAATTGAGTAGATGCGGGGGAAATCGTGCAAAGCTCCAGGGCAAAATGCGGCCGTGCAGCAGCTTGTGTGAAATTGACACGTACCATCGGGGCAAAAGGGAAGAGCAAGCGTGGAGCAGCGCTTGTGGGAAATCGGCCTGTCCGTATATTCAGCAACTAAAGTCCGAAATAGGGAAGCGCTTGTAAGTGCATGTGGGAAACGTGTGTATGCATGCATCAAGGCCAAAGATCAAGCCCCCACCCTGCCCTGAAACAGACTGTTCTGTGTCATTCTGATACAAGAGATACACGTAGGGTTGCCAGGCCCCCAGTCCAGATGGGGGTTCCCCCGCTTTTGTGGGCCTCTTTCCGCGGTGGCTCAGTGGTTAAGACACTTAGTTGCAGACCAGAAGGTCAGTAGCTTGGCAGTTCGAGACCTGAGTGCTGCGTGACAGAGTGAGCTCCCTTCTCTGGTCCCAGCTCCTGCCAACCTAGCAGTTTGAAAGCAAGAAATTGCAAGTAGATAAATAGGTACCGCTTTGGTGGGAAGGTAACAGCGTTCTGTGTGCGTCTAGTCATGCCGGCCACATGACCACAGAAATGTCTTCAGACAGCGCTGGCTCTTCAGCTTGGAAACGGAGATGAGCACCACCCTGTAGAGTTAGATTCTACTGGCTTTCAAGCAAGGGAAACCTTTACCTTTTACCTTCCACTAGCTGGCGGAGGGAAACCCTGCCCGCAAATGCCCCTGAATGCAATGTAATGCAGTCACCTGGAAGGGACATTATCATGTCGCCACCATCGGGGGGGAGGTAACATTCTAGTTTTTGGGCAAAACTCTATGGTAAAATTGGGCTCAAACCATAGAGTTTTGCCCAAATAGAGCATCACCCCCCCATTGACGTGATGATGTCACTTCCAGGTGATGTCATTGCAGTACATGTGCTTTGCGCATGCGCCAGAAGACCCTGGAGTCCCCCCACTGCAGCCAGGTAGGACCTGGCAACCCTAAATACATGCGTGAACATCTCCATGCAGTCATCCCCTTCCTTCGCCCCTCCCCAACTGTTGTTACAAGATAAGGGAACGTGACATGGATGGTAGGAGCTGATGAGCCTGGAGAAGACTCCTGGAGAAGGAACCACAATGTTCCTGGTGATTCCTAGAGCTTTTGCTGTCACTTCCCTGGAAGTGATTTATCATGCTTGCAATGCTGCCCCCACACCAGGTCCCTTTCCCCAGGCACAACTGCATTTTGAGAACTGGGTACAACTGCATTTTGGAGACTAAGGGGAAAGGGCAAAAGAAGCAAAGACAAAGCAGAGAAGGGCCAGAGACAGAGTGACATCATCAGCCTTACAAAGGAGGGACCAGAGATGGTCCAGGCAGATGTTCCATCATCAATGGAGCTCTCCTGCTTGAGCAGCCCACTCAAACAGCCTGTACAGCAGCCAGTGTATATCATCAGTCGGGCTATCCTAACTTAGGGGTGCATGTGAAGCATGAATAAGATAAGGTTAGGATGCATAAATGTTTCCAATAAAGCTTTATTTTATTTCAAGAGGAAGCGTGCCTGGCGGAATGATGTAAGACTTCTTTGGGTTCCCAGTGGGGAGGAAGACGGGGTATAAATGAAGTAATTAAATAAATATGCGTACATATACATCTCACATAAAATTAGAGGGTTTCTTCTTCTTATTGTTATTATTATTCATACTCTGTTTAGTCTATACTTTGTTGATCTGGACTATGAGTTTCTATTAAAAATGCTTTGTCCAGTTGTCCCTAGAGTCGGATTCGACTGGCTTTCGAGCAAGGGAGACCTTTACCTTTACTAGACCTGTTTAGCACTGCTGCCAATACTAAGAAATAGACAAAATATTGGTTGTAGACCCAGATTCAAATGCTATACTGGTCATGGGCTTATAGGGTGGCTTTGAGGAAATCGTTACCACATCTCAGACACACATGAAGCTGCCTTATACCGAATCAGACCATTGGTCTATCAAGGTCAAAATTGTCTGCTCAGACTGGCAGCAGCTTTCCAAGGTATCAGGCAGAGGTCTTTCACATCGTACTGCCTGGTCCTTTTAACTGAAGATTCCGGGGATTGACCCTGGGACCTTCTGCATGCAAAACAGAGGATCTTCTACCGAGCAATGGGCCCTCTCCCAGTCTTCATAGTTGCTGCTGAAAATGTACAGTCCATCAGGCCTTATAATGAGTTAGATCTTGGTCTGTCAGAACACTGTTTGCTCTGATTTGCAGTAGCTGTTCAAGAGTGACTTCCTGATCCTTTATCTGGAGATGCTAGGAATTGAATTTGGGAACTGAATTTGGGACGGGAGAAAAAGATCAACAACCTCAGATATGCAGACGATACCACTCTAATGGCAGAAAGTGAAGAGGACCTTAAGAGCCCCTTGCTCAGAGTGAAAGAGGAGAGTGCAAAAGTGGGCTTGAAGCTCAACATCAAAAAAACTAAGATCATGGCATCCGGCCCCATCACTCCTTGGCAAATAGAAAGGGAAGTCGTGGAAGTAGTGACAGACTTCACGTTCCTGGGATCCCAGATCACCGCAGACTGTGACAGCAGCCATGAAATTAAAAGACACCTGCTCCTTGGGAGGAAAGCGATGGCGAACCTCAACAGCATGATAAAAAGTAGAGACATCAGCCTGCCAACAAAAGTCCGCATGGTCAAAGCAATTGTATTCCCAGTAGTCATGTATGGCTGTGAGAGTTGGACTATAAGGAAGGCCGAGCGCCGAAGAATAGATTCTTTTGAACTATGGTGCTGGAGAAGACTCTTGAGAGTCCCCTGGACTGCAAGAAGATCAAATCAGTCAATCCTAAAAGAAATCAACCCTGACTGTTCCCTGGAAGGCCAGATAATGAAACTGAAGCTCAAATACTTGGGCCACCAAATGAGAAGAGAGCACTCACTGGAGAAGACCCTGATGCTGGGAAAGATTGAAGGTCAAAGAAGACGGGGACGGCAAAGGATGAGATGGTTAGACAGTGTCATAAATGCAATTAACATGAAGTTGAGCAAACTTCAGAGGTCGGCGGAAGACCGGAAGGCCTGGTGTGATGTGGTCCATGGGGTCACAAAGAGTCGGACTCGACTGTGCAACTGAACAACAAATGCTAGGAATCGGGCTGTCTTGTGCAGTCTCTTTAAAGTTTAAAGGGACTGCACAAGACAGCCTGAAACAGCTAAGCGGTTGGAGCAGGCTCTCCTTGCCAGCTCAGCTGTTTTTCTGACTTTCTTCTGCAGTCCTTTTAAACATGCCTCCTTTAAAGGGACAGCAGAAGCCAGCTGAGCAGCAGGAGCAATGGGCTCCTGCCTCTCAGCTGTTTTTTGCACTTTGCTGATATTCTTGGTAATTCCTGGACATACCTGGGACTTTTTGGGGATTTTTTTTGGTTTTCCTAAAAAATCCCTGATATCTTTGGGATGCTGAAATACACCCTGAAAATACTGACAAGATATTTTTGGGGTATATGTTCAGCTGGGGTAGATCCAAATGCACACCTCTATTTAGCAGTACTGCATCAAAAGTTTGTTGGTTTGTTTGCTTTCTGGATGCTTCCTTAAACATTCCTTAATCTGTCATCATTTCAGAATCCACGCTCCCAATGTAATGATAATTGCCAACCCGGTTATCGAAAGGGGATCCAGCAGGGGAAGCCCTCCTGTTGTTACGACTGCATAAAATGTGCAGAAGGACAGTTCAGTAACATAACAGGTAGGAATGCCTTTAAATGTTCTAGCTGATGACACAAGGAAAAAGCAGGCAGAGGTTTTCCGGGGATTCTATCAAGAGCTAATCAGCGTGAAGCCTTCATTATCTGAACTTTGAACTAGATGAGACTAGAATGACATATTCCACTATATGATTTGTATTCTCTCTCTTTTTTCTTCTTCTGAGCCTTCACTTAAGTAAAGCAGAAACTTAAATCATCATTGTAACTGCAAGGGTTACTATCTGAGGAGAAATGAGTTAAATATAGGGCAGCCAACTGGAAGGAAAGTGAATGGAAGAAGCTCTGCAATAGGCAGGAAATCTGAGGGCCAGTTCCCATCTGCTTCTTTGTACTTGCGCAAATATACCTTAATACTTCGTCAAACATGAAGGGCTCTTTTTGCCACTTTCCTCTTTAAGACACTTAAATGCTTGCTTATAGAAAAAAGCTTTATTAAATTACTGCAAATCTTTTCCAAAGCACACACAGTAGAACATGGCTCAATTTCCAGTTATTTCGGAGAACACAGCAACAAAATGTGGAATACCCTCCACCTTGAGACTAAACTGTCACCTATTTGACTGCCTTTTAGGCACTAGGCCAAAACATTTCTGTTTACAAAGGCTTTTAATTAGGGGTTTGACTTTTTAAATTGTTTTTACAATCTGATTTTCATCAGTTGCAGTGTTCCCTCTAAGCTAAGCGTGAGCTAGCTCACAGTTTTTTAGCCTCCAGCTCAAGAAGGATGGCTCCAGAGCAAACTAATTTATGCTGCAGCCGAATCCCTTGCTCACCACTTTAATACCAGTAGCTCACAAAGTAGAATTTTTGCTCACAAGACTCCACGGCTTAGAGGGAGCATTGGTTCTGAGGATCATTTAGGTTGCGAAAGGTTTTATGCTTTGGGTTTTTATGCTGTGATGCTCTGGGTTTTTATTGGCTGTGTTTATAATGGCTTGTTATTTTTAATGATGATATTGTTTTAATTTTAATATTTAAATGTTAATTTTAATTATGGGTTTTTAATTTTATCCTGGTTTATTTCATGAGCTGCCTCGAGCAGGTCTCTGAAGAGTCATATATAACTTTTCTAAATAATAAAATAAATAGTAACATATGGAATACTTGGTAAGCAATCATGATAGCACCATCTACTGGATGGAGGTACTATACATGCAATAGTCAAATGGCTTCTGGGTCCAGAAATGTCAGGTTCCCAGTCAAATCACTCTCCACACACACTTTAGCAGCGTATGTTTTATTAGAAATATGAGACGCTGTGGGTTCAAACTCTTTGTTAGGACTGGGGTGCAAAGGCAAGAAAGGTGGATATAAATTCAGTCCCAAAATTCCATTCACACCTACGTCAGCAATACTACAATGGCTATGACAGATATACAGTCACTATCTAGCCTGGCACAGACTAAACTTCAAGGACATTTCTCGTGTGAGAGATGTCTTGAGGCTTCTTTGGAAAGTCACCAAGTGTGCCTCCCTAATTCACTACAACCCCTCACTCCCCCCTAAGAATGCAATGGCAGGCAAGGGCAAAGATAAGGGGTACAGAGACCAACAAAGCAAGCATACATCAGGTTACAATAAATCAGGGTTCAATTAGCCAGATGCCCGAGTCTGACAAGAAATTGCCTACACTTGCATATATTTTAAAAGAAGGAAACACCAGAAAAACTGACAATAAACCCATGTATGATTAACTGTTTTATACTTGGCAGAGCAAACAGGTTTCTGGTAGTCAGAAATGCATGCCTAGATACAAAATGCAGGGCTTTTTTCCTGGGGGAATGTGCCAGAATTCAGTTCCAGAAGCTCTTTGACAAAATTCTTTTGAAAATGTTTAAAAATTCGTAAGTTTTCACTATACAGATCAAAAACTTCATTTCTGGTGCCTCTATCTATATCTATATCATCTATATCTATATCTATATCTATATCCCTGCTGACAGCTATTGCATTTCTAAATGAAAGAAACTGCAGAATGAGCATCCAGATAAACAGACATGAAACTGCCTTATAGTGAGTCATACCATTGGGTTTTATGAAGGTCAGTTTTGTCTACAGTGAGTGGCAGCAGCTCCCTTAGGGACTGAGGTTTGTTCTTTCACATAACCTGCTAGGTGATCTCTTTAACACAAAATGCCAGGATTGGATTTAAGACCTTGTGCACGCAAAGCAGATGCTTTCCTACTCAGCCATGGCACCCTCCCAATTAATATGCATGTCTGATACTATCAAACTTGGGGTGCGATCAGACAGGCTTTCTGATCCAGTGTTGTCCCTTCTCTCTACCAGATTTAACATGCGCGTCCAGACAACAACATCTGTCTTCCATTCCCCAGCTGTCAGCCCCCCCATCCTCAACCCCGACTTTCCCAACATTGGAGAAAGTCTGGTGTTTACAGATGAATTGTTCTCATCATACATTTCTCTCCGTTGCATGCTCACGTTCTTTGGGAGGTCTGTGGCTTCTACTCCCTGACAACAACATCTGTCTTCCATTCCCCAGCTGTCAGACTTTGCTCCATTCCCTGGCTTGTACCACTTTCACAAAGTATGTTAAACCTTTTAGTTCTTCCCCTCCTGGCTGCGAGGGTTTCTCACTGACCTATCCTAAAATAGGGTTGAGTCCCCACATGTGCTGCCCTACACGTGTCCATAGTCATAACAAGGTGCCTGTCCTGAAATTTTAGGGCCCTAGCTAGGGTTGCCAAGTCTGGCAAACTCACCGGGGGGGAGGCTCGGACAAGTCCGGGAGCAGGCTCGGTATGCACGCGCGACACCGCCACATCACCGGACGTGTGACGTTGCTGACATTGGGGGCGTGGCCCCGCTCGTCAGGGGGGGGCCACGCCCCCAACGTCAGCAACCCTAGCCCTAGCCCAGGTTCTAATGCAAGAAGATATCCAAGCACCTTGCATCTTCCTAGAAGGTGGGTAAATGGTCATGTCTATTCTTCCCATTTGTCTCCACAAAGGTAAGCCATCTCCCTTCAGCATTAAATTTTAATAAGTTTCCTGCATCATTCCCAGGAAACAGAATGGCCTACCATGTCATTGTCTTTTGTATGTTAATCACTGTATTTTCCCCAACCGTAACTACTATCTCATGGATTGCTAGGCCTTCTGGCCTTTCATTTTACACCCCCCCTTTCTGTCTGTTACACTCAATGCATTGAACAAAGTACACCCTGATTAAAAAATGGCACATTACCAATTAAAGTGCAATAAGTCTTAGGGAAAAGGCTAACAGTAAACTAACAGGGCTATCCCTTTGGAGTTTAATGTATTTAAAAATATTTATGCTCTGCCTTATCTCCTAAGGAAAAGAAACAGAACACCAAACAGCTTACAAAATACAGGTAAACATAAGAACATACAAAATGACACATTTAAGAAATTGTATACGTAAACCATCATCCTGTCAATGAACACTGCCTACCCTTCCACAATGTTCTAGGACACATTAATAAAAAATTCAGAAACAGTGTTGCCTTGCAGTGCTTTCCAGAAACCAAGAAGGAAGAGGAGGCTCTGCTCACCTTCTCTGGTAGCCCATTCCCAAGAACTTGAGAGATGGCCCCAAAAGCCTGTCACTGGGCTACAAATGAATGTGCCATCCTGTGAGATGATGCCACATACAAAGAATTTCTCTGCCTTCAATATTGAGTACCACATTTTGCAGAAGAATTATATCACACCCCATTCTGTTGTTGTTCAGTCACACAGTCGAGTCGGACTCTTCGTGACCCCATGGACCACATCACGCCAGGCCCTCCTGCCTTCCGCCGTGCTCCGGAGTTTGCTTAATTTCATGTTTGTTGCATTGATAGCACTTTCTAACCATCTCATCCTTTGCTGTCCCCTTCTTCTTTTCCCCTCAATCTTTCCCAGCATCAGGGTCTTCTCCAGTGAGTGCTCCCTTCTCATTTGGTGGCCAAAGTATTCTACTTTGGGATAATAGGGGCATGATTTTCATGAGGTTCCCATGCATGGTGAGGTGCTCTCAGAGGGTTGTCCAATTTCTGCCTTGTAGTTTCTGCATCTGGTTTAAGGTTGCAGAACTGATGTTACTATATAATTCCCAAACATGATGGTAGCATCCTAGCTGAACCTGCACACCAGTTCCTGGTTCTGCCCTAAGAATCTCTGACCAGTGCTTACCTTCTAGAAACAGGGATGCCGAGGGCCAGATCTGCTTAGAAATAACATTCCCTAACGGGTGAATCCTTGGCCCATTCTGCATCTAGCATTCACTCTGTTGTTTTACTAACCCTAACTGGAACAGAAAAAGGTGTGACTCAAAACCACATTCAAATAGTCCAGGCCAATGCCATACTGACTACCAAGTCACCCCTGAATGGCCATAAAATGGCCATAAATCTATGCAGATAGTACCATAAAACTGAGAGATCAAAGGAGTGAAACCGGCATGCAGTCTGGACACTACCATAAAATCCAGCAATCAATCAAAGTGAAAGTGGCATGCAATGTAGAGGGGAATTTCTGTTCCCACATGGGTTTGGTAAAATAGCGGAATGAATGCTAGATGCAGAATGGGCCCTTATGTCTAATCCCTGATGTGTGGACACTCTCTGTATTTACAGCTGTCCAGGGGCACTTTCCTCTATTCTTCTAAGACTGAGCACAGGCATTGAAAACACATACTGGAGCTGAATCTTAACACATATTAAGCCCAACAGCACTTAAACATTTTCTGTTATCGTTTCCTCTACAGATGCAAGGGAATGTACCGGGTGTCAGGAGGATTACTGGTCCAATGCTGACAGAAGTGGATGCGTACATAAAGAGGTTGAATTTCTGGGTTATGATGATGCTTTAGGAACCACATTAATTGTACTAGCCGTATTTGGCGCTTGTGTCGTCCTGTCCGTGACTGGTGTCTACATAAAACACAGGAAAACAGCTCTTGTGAAAGCCAACGATCGAGAGCTGAGCTTCCTCATTCAGTTTTCTCTTGTCATAACCTTAATGACTTCCATTCTTTTTATTGGTAAGCCAGTAGACTGGTCATGTCAGTCCCGCCAGGTGTCCCTTGCTTTGGGCTTCTCCGTTTGCCTTTCCTGTGTCTTAGGAAAAACCGTTACACTTCTCTTGACTCACCTGGCCAAAAATTCAAAAGTTGCTGAGAAAGCACGAATGCTCTTCAAGCCAATTTTCCAAAAAATTATTGTCCTCCTGTCTGTACTAACCGAAGTGGGCATTTGTACTGCCTACCTCATACTTAACCCACCCCGTATGTATAAAAACACCCAGTTCCAAAATATTAGAATCATTTATGAATGCAACGAGGGCTCTATAATCTACTTGTGCGTCATGTTTGGGTTTGATGTGTTTTTAGCCATACAATGCTTTCTCACAGCCTTTATAGCTCGCAAGCTCCCCAACAACTTCAACGAAACAAAGTTTGTCACCTTTGGGATGCTGGTCTTCTTCATTGTCTGGATCTCCTTTGTCCCAGCTTACTTAAGCACAAGAGGAAAGTTCAAAGTGGCCGTGGAGATATTTGCAATTTTGGCTTCCAGCTTTGGCTTGTTAGGGTGTATATTTGTGCCAAAATGTTACATCATTTTATTGAAACCTTTAAGGAACACTGAGGAAATCGTGCATGGCAAAGCTGCCACCAATGACAAGAGCGCACCGCCCACCTCTGCATCATGCACCAGTGAAGTTAACAACACTACCGTCTCCACAGTTCTGGAGGATTAGACCCTTTATAGCTCTTGCCTGTCACAAATTCCACTAGCTCCCCTGCACCTTTTCTTCCTCTGCATTGAGAGAAAACAGATACCTGGTTCCTATGGAAGCTGCATCTTCTGCTTCTTGCAGAATAGCACAGATACAGCACACCTGTTTGCTTGCTGACAAAATAATACACGGTACTCCCCAAGGAGCTTTTTATTTTCATAGCAATTTATATCCATTCCAACTGTAATAGGCCAGCAGTTAAAAAACATCTTCTTCCAAAAAGTAACCATCTTAAACCTGTGACAACTAATAGCATGAGAGTGCCTGTAATATTTTACAATAAATTAAATTACTTACAGCTTCATGTGGTGTTTCTGTCAATTTGAAGCTTCAATGGGAACATATATTTTCAGCTGATGATCTGTTGCCAGTTTCTTGAACAAAGTTCACATACTTCAGGAGCAAATGTTCTGCAATGATCTCTTGAAGTGAACATATATGAATGTATGAAAGCTGCCTTATATTGAATCAGACCCTTGGTCTAGCCAGGTTAGTATTGTCTACTCCAACTAGCAGTGTATCTCTGGGGTCTCAGGCAGAGATTTTTTCATGTCACTTACTACTTGATCCAGAGACTAAACCTGAGGCCTTCTACATACAAATCAGATGCTCTACCACTGAGCTGTGGGCCCTTTTCATGCTCCTTCATGACATGTTCTCATGTGCATGACATGTTTAATGGTAGGGTTGCCAGTTCTGTTGGATGAGCAGGCAATGGGGGGGGGGGGATGCACTTGCCAGGACCGGGGAGGGGAGAAGCCGGAAATAAACACAATGAAATAGGCACGTCGGGGACGTCAGGATGACGCTCTGGTTTGTTGGCAAAACCTCAATGGTAGAATTAGCTTCTTACCATAAAGTTTTGCCCAAAAATCAGAGCATCACCCCCAAGGTCACTGACGTGCCTATGTCACTTCTGGGTGATGTGGCATGTCGTGCTTGTTTTTGGTTTCTTGCCTGTTTGGAGGGGTAATTTCCCCCGGTTCCTGACAGCCCTGAAGTGGGTGGAGGGGCTCCAAACTGGGGGACCCCCCAACCCCAACTGGGGACTGGCAACCCATTTAGTGGTGATAGCAGATGATAATCCCACCTTTGATCAGTGTTTGGACAAGAACGTCCGCTGGTTCCTTCAAACTTTGTGAAATAATAAGGTGCTTAATGTTCAGCTTGAGAACAACAGCTATCTTATTAGGTTGAAGAGAAGCTCAGTTTAGTAATATTCTTGCATTTTACAGCATTTCTCTAGCCAGTCTCAAGTCTCTACTAGTATCCATCCCAGCCTGCTAAAACAGGATCAGGTCTTAGAACGATGATTTCGTGATTAATCTATCTAGATGTTAGTGCAGAATTTGTAATCACAGGCCCCCTATGCATAATCTGGCCCTGACCTGGATAGCTCAGGCTAGCCTGATCTCAATAAATCTTGGAAGCTAAGCAAGGCTCGTGCCAGGACAGTATCTGGAAGGGAGAGCACCAAGGAATACCAGGGTCGTGATGTGAAGCCAGGAAATGTCAAACCACCCACAAACATCTCTTGCCTTGAAAACCCCATGGGGTTTCCATAAATCAGCTGAGATTTGACAGCCAAAAAAAAGGATAATGCAGTCTGTTGGTATCTGTTGACTGTGACAGAGCTCTGGACAGCTTCTTATGTTGGCCAGATGGCAGCAATATTTTGGGTGGTCTTGGGTTTTTCCCGTTTCTTTTATTCTGTCACCTCAAGTACCCTTAGGGTTGTCATCTTCTGTCTGGACTAGGGCTTATATATGTATAAGATCCCTGAAACAGGGCAATATCATGGCATCTTTCATGTGACAAGCAGCAGCAAGTGGGAAAACAGCATCCTATCCTAAGAATTACAGCACAACTTAGTCTAGTAGTGTGCTGGAATCAGGACATATCTGGCTTACTTATTGGGGAGGAGCCCTGTGGCTCAGCAGTAGAGTTCCTGATCTGCATGCAGAAGGCCCTCGCTTCAGTCTATGTGAATGTGAAAGACTATTATCTGCCCGAAATCCTGAAGAGTCACTGCCAGTGAGAATAGATGTGCCAGTGGTCTGCTTGTAAGGCAGATTTGTATATTAATTCTTTTGCACTGCTGGTACAAGTGGAATCACCATGTACACCTTCAGTGTGTACAGGTAAAGAATGAGTTAATGAAGATTGAGAAGGAATTCCTGAAAGGGAATGAATAAAATGTATTAAAAGCAAAACTGAAACTGAAAATTTAGTCCGCTCTAAAAATGAAGGGAAAGGGGTGAAGACTTTAGATAGGGTGTTCAAGAATCACACAACACACTGATTTCTTTGAAGCTGCAGATCAGCTCTGTCTGTCTCTCTCTCTGTACCACAACTGTCCCTGTTCTTCTGACAGGCTGTCTCTCAGCAGCATTTTTATTAACAGAAAGAAAAGCAAGCTCATTCATTTGAACATTGTTACATTATCAAGCTTTCTATGTTAGGAATACAGAATGTTCTTCTCAGGCAAGACAATCTTTGAATGTTGCAAAAGCTTGTATGCTCTCAGTAATTCATTGTTATAAGAGGAATTTAGCAGCCTCATGCAAACTCAGAAAACCTTGTTTCCTGCTTGCCAATTCTCCCGGCAGAGTAGTGTCTGTGGGAATTCGAACTTTGACTTGGGAAGCCTGAACTTTGACCCCGGGCATGCCTCCAGGATTTCCGTTCCGACCCCACATGCCACCCTTCTTTGTTTTAATTAATGTGCAGGTAAGAGAGGAATGCCATCCTCTAGGCCCATAGGCCATTCGTCTTCTGAATTAACATGAGACCAGGCTACAGCCACCTTGAGTGGGTAGGCCTGTTTTGGAGGGCGACAAAGAGAGCCGAAGATTTGAAATAAAGACGGAATGCATTGCAGAAAGCAACATATTAAAATCAGTATTACGAGTCCGGTCACCCCATAGACAATCAGTTGCTGGAACCATCCCAAATTAGGAAGCCAGCCTTTGAACCAATCCCAGAGACCGTCAAATCCCACATCTTGCCGAATATGACCAGTGAGATTTTCAAGCTCTTCCAGATGATGTTCAATGCTCTGACCATTATCAGTTAGATTAAAGCAACACATATTTTTAAAAGAAGAACAGCCATAATGATGTTTAAAAGGCAAAAAATCAATAACTGTTATCTAAAATAGCTCCTTGTAGTTCCTGTTGTTCAGAATTAAGGAGTGCAAGGTGCATTAATTGTTTTGACAACATAACATACTAGTTCAGCTAATATTGTAACATTACTTAATGCCAGTCCAGGAACCCCAATTAAGGAAAGCTGCTAAAGAAACATTTTTCAGCTTTACTCAGCAAGCTTACTTTAGAATTACAATCATGATGGAGGGAAACAGAACTCTGAGTGTGGGATTGTGTCTGTGGCAGAACAATAGCAAGCTAACTGAGGCAACAAGTGTTTTCACTAAGATTGGCAGGAATATAATTAAAAGTGCGACTGCCACAGGTAAAGAACCATCCAGTAGGTAAAATGATATGGGCATAATTTGTGTCTGTGGCAGAACAATAGCAAGCTAACTGAGGCAACAAGTGTTTTCACTAAGATTGGCAGGAATATAATTAAAAGTTATGGCTGCCACAGGTAAAGAACCATCCAGTAGGTAAAATGATATGGGCATAACTGAAAGACACTTTTTAGTGATGTGAGGACATTTTAGTATGTCAGG